CCCCCTCTATCACAAATCTAGTTGCATGAACTTGAAAGGTGAAGCCAAACTACTTCTTACTCCTGTTGGAAAGTGAGCTTTAAAGCATTATGTTCAGGCTGAGTAACTAGATCCCTGACACAAAGATTTGCAGGGCTGTTGTGTGGTGGTAATTACCAACACTTTCTGTGTAGTTCATTTAAAAGTAATGACTAGTGGATAGAAAAGGAATAATAGATTTTAACCATGGAATACATTAACTTGTGCAGATGCCAGGGGAATCTAATTTGTCATAATTAGAAATTTGAATGGGGATAGGCAAGGATGTTAACATTTGGGGTTTGTGTCTTTTTTTGTCTTTTATGGTATAAATCTACTGAATGAAATGAAATACATGTGACAGATACTGTCCCAGTAGCTGTGATCTCTGCTTCAGTGAGATCATTCTGAAGTAAATGAGAATTGGCTTCCTAGGCTACATCTGTGGCAAAGTAGTGGTAACAGATTGTAGAAATGAGAAGTTCAGATTATTTAAAACATTGCTTAAATAAAGACAGTGGATCACTGATACTGTGTTATGTTTTGAAGGATCTGAAATGAAGACTTCTGACTCTTAATGGAAGTTTTGTCTGATGCTGAGAGCTCTGTCATTTATTTTAAATAAGTGTAAAGAATACCAACAGTCCTGTACCTCCTGGTACTGGAAGGAGGATCCTGGCTGAGTCTCTAGTAAATGAAGTGGAATCTTTAATTTCTGAGAGCAAATATGAATTTCAGATTGCATTGGCTTCTGCAGGTGTTCTCAAATGGGGAAGCACGTAGGCTGCTTCCAGCCTGGCCTGGGCACAGCAGCTTAATGCCTTAGGGTGGTCCTGTCTGTGTTACTGCACCATCTGTAGCTCTTCTGTCACACCAGGTAGATGTTGAAAGGTTAGTCTAAAACAAGTACACTGCTTCTCCTTCCTACCAAAGTAGATTCAGAGTATGAACCATATCTCTGTCTTCAGTCTGATACTTGGAAATGCCTATCGAGTAACCCAAAATGATAAAAAAATGTGCCCCACCAAGCTACTTTTTTCTCCAGTCTAGATGATGTCAGTTTGCTGAAGCAGGTGCATGTTGAAAGAGTAACAACATAGGATTTCTGGGGAAAGCAGAGATGTGACCAGTTAGAAACAAATTTCCCTTTGAACAGCGATGGCAATCTGCATAAAGTCAAATTGTGGCATTATCAATAATCAAATTAGTGGCTTCCTGAATAGCATTTAGAGCTTGTTCCTCTGACGCAACTAACAGGCGCAGGGGAAAGTATTATAATGCTTTTTAATAACCAGCAAGACTTTTTCTTTACTTGGCAGGAAAGATTTCTTTCTGTTTTGTGGAAAACACTTTTTCTAGTCTGTGTTTAGTAGCAACGAGCAGGGAAAATACTCTGACAAGTTTTGAACCTTGCTGCAGAATTTTATGAGAGCATTTTACTAATATAGCATACTCCTTTCTCCTGGTGTAAATGTTAAGTAATAGCAATGTAATTGGAATAGTTGGCTGTTGCAATATGTGTGAATTTAGTTACCCAATCTGTCCTGTTTCTCCAATGGAATGATTATGAAAGACATTTAATTGGCTTGGTGAATATCCCTCACTTGTTGAATTGGTGAATGTGGCTAAATTTGACTGTGTATAGAGGTGGATAAAATAAGTGTGGTATATGCAAGTTTGACGTGTTCTTTTAAGTGAGTTCCTAGTTGCCTGTTTTATGTGTTGGTAGAATCTAAATTATCGATGTGAAAATAATTGTTTTGCTTTAGTTGATAATAGAATTGTCTAAACCAGGCCCTTCAGTGCACCCCATGTTTTCTCAGTGCTGTGAAGTAGGTAGGCTGAGCTGAAGAAGGCTGAGGTGTGTGTTTGGCTGCTACAGAGAAAAGGAAGAGGATTTACCAGTTCTGGAGAAGGCTGTTGATGCTGTTGTGCAAAAGCACGGGTTGCTTGGGTGCTTGGCTCTTTCTGTGAATGCTCACAGTTAGTCACTCCTGGTGTAGGTAAGAGCACTGTAGAGACATTGCTAGAAGGTGTCATGGCCCAGCTTGACCCAGCACTGCCCACACCTGGGCTCTCTGGGTGTCCCTGTTTGCTGGCAGGTTCATCTCAGTGTGGTGGAGATATGTTGTCTGGGTGAAATGTGTCCTCAGCTCCTGCTCTGTGCTGCCTCGCTGCCCAGTTGGAAGGAGCTGGGCAAAGCATTTCTGTTCCCAGTTAGTGTGTGGGGCCTGTTCACCTGCCCTGCTGTTTCCTGGTGCTGCAGCACTCTAAAAGCAGAGCCTGTGGGTGAGGATTCTGAACTGCTGCTGTGTGGGTGCAGAGCTGTAACGTAAGGAGTGGAAGTGACAGTAGTTGGTTGGCAGCTCTCTCACTGCACTCTGCAAAAGCATCCAGAGTTCAAACCTTTGGGGGAAAGGAATTATTTTCCAAGCAGCCTCCTTCTCTTCCAGGTAAAAGTTCATGTTTTGAATAATTTGAAGCCTGAGGATCTGATTATTATTCCAGCCCATCTGCCACATAAATAAAACTGATACCTTTATTCTTTGGAATCAACAGCTACAAAAAAGTCCGAAGAGGCAGCCAGAGAAGGAGGGGACAATGTGGCTTTCAAAATAAGGATCAGTGAAAACCTGTTTCTGCAAGTGTTGATGTGATCTGCAGTTGGTTTGGAATTGTGTGCCTTCAAACAAGGAGGCCAGGAACAAGAACCTGGTGAAGTATCTTTGTTATCAAAACAAAACAGCTAGGGGAAGAGCTGTCAGTAGTGGTAGCAGTGGAAGAAGTCAGGGGTGTTATTGTTGTATTCGCTATGGAAAAGCTTCTCAAGATACACTTTAAAGAAACGGCAAACAGTAACAAATTCTTCACAATAAAAAAGAGAAACTGTGTTCAGGAATGGATTTGACACACGGGCCTGCCCAGAGCAAGGGAAAATCTCTGTCCTGTGTGGGGGAGAAATTGCTCTCAGCAGGATTTCTGGTGTGTTGAGAAGGATTAGGGTTGTTAAAAGCTTGGAATAATGGGGAGATCGTGGCTGTTATAATCCCAATTTATATTCAGAGTGCTTGTAATGAAATACCTGATGTTTGCCAAAAAGGTGCTCTCCGGTAAATAGCATTACAATATATTCCTGTATTGTATGCTGTTTGGTTTTTTTAATATACAAATTGTTTGAAAATGTGATAGAAGATACAGCTTTGACCAGCTGTGCTTGGGAAAAGCATGAACTGCCTTCTGCAGAAGTGGCCTGTAAATAGGGTTGATTTAGAAATTTCCAGTAAGACCAAAGAACGCTAAAAATTATTATTTGCCCAAATATAAGTGGTTGTTTGGGGAAACCAGTTCCCTTAACTGAAATATCACTTGGGCCAGATGTTGAGGGCATTGAATATGAGAGTTATGGCACAAGTCATGTGCCGAGGATGCCAAAGTACAGTGCAAGTAGTTGGATTATATTAAGGTTCTGTTGATAGTGCTGATTTAAGAATGTGCTTTTATATTTTGTTTGTGATATAGTAACATGTTTAGGGGTAGGTAAATACTGGCTAATCAAGAATCTCCTTTCTGTGTTAACTAGTTAATCATGATATAAAAAAATCTTGCTTATTCAGTATCATAGAATCATAGAAAGAGTCATAGAATCACAGGCGTTGGGAGGGGCCTCTAAATATAAGTCCAACCCCCCTGCTGCAGCAGGAGCACCTGATCAGTAAGCAGTAAAATCTTTTCTCATTGCATTTGGTGTGTGCAGGTGAACTTCCTCTGTTTCAGGTGATTAGCACAGGATCAGCACAACATGGCAGCTGGTGTTTGAATACAAGGTAATTAATTGTACCGTGTAAAGATAGTGTGCTAAGAGTTTAACTCTGGTAATTTTACTGACAGGGTAAAAAATGTTTACGTGAACAGCTCTGTTAGCCAGTAAAAAGGGCTACAACCTTCAGCAAGAAGATGGTGGTGAACAGGTGGCACTGGCATGTTGCATAACAGTCTAAAATCACAGCTGTTTGTGAAGTGCACTTTTCTTCACCTTCACTTAATAATTCTTTTGAGCTGCTCTTTAAATGTCAATAAAGGCCTCTCATTAATTCAGCCTGATGGTTGCATTACAGCATTTTAGCAGCTTCTGAAAAATAATTCAGTTACTGAAGTGGTAAACTTGCTGCCTTGACAGTGAAGATGAAGTACAGCATCACAGCTGGAAAGGCAGAGATAGAATTGTAATTCCTGATCCATCTTTGTATATGGTCACCAATGTCTTGCTTTAAATTTGTGGTATTTCCTCCCCATGTAAATGGGAGTTAGAAGTGAAGAATTTCAGTGGGATGGGGCTTCTGGAATGCTGAAGTGAATCTAGTAGGGAAAATAGGAAGATGACACATCAGAGGTGAACTGTACTTTCAGAACACTTGAAAGTAATTTTAACAGTACAGCACTTCATAATATTGCCAGTTAGTGCTACGTGGAAATATGTTAACAAGCATTTTGAACATAAATATCTTCTGCTTGTTGATTTTTGTTGTGTGGCTTGTTGTTTTTCCCCCTCCCAAAAATTATATGGATCCTTCCTTCAGGACCATCTGAGAGAGTCTGGTCCTTTCCTGTCAATGATTGCCAGTTGCCCTAAGCGTATTTTTCTCCTTGCCTGTCTTTGAATCTATTCTTGCATTCAGTGATACTAAGAGTGATGTAATTAAGCACATGTGAAAGGGGTATTAACTAAAATGTAGTTATGTTTTATGCAATGAAATAAAACTACAGTCAATTTCTTTAGTAACAGTCCATAATTTGACTGTAAATCCAGTGAGATGAAGAGTGTCCAGAGTGTTTTAATTTTCAGTTGACTGACCTGTTGCATGTAACCTGTCTCTTGTGCTGGCTTAATGCTTGAAAATAAGGATGTTTGAAGGGGAAAAAATACATGTTTAACATAGTACTCCATTTTCTTCTCAGACGCTGACACATCTTTGGGCCCTGCAATGACAAGTCAGAACAGTAGCCATGCAGAGAAAACTGGTGAGATGTCCTCAAAGCAGTCAGCACCAAAAGTGCAGGTCCAACGATCTGTCTCCCAAGAAACCATCACTATTCATTTCTCTGCATTTGGGAAGGAGGAAGAAGAGGAGGAAGAGGAGTTTAAGGAATTTCTTGGTGAGGAACTAGATGACCAAAGCATTGTAACAGCACTTGAAGCCAAGGAAGACCTCTGCTTTGAGCACACCGGCCATGATTTTTCTGGTCCAGCTACCTCGCTCACCATGGCCAACTCTGCATCATTGCTGCCCTCATTGCCCGCGGTTCCGCCAGCTGCAGAGACTGTAACGCTGTTGGATTCTCCTTGCACATCCCACATGTTCAGTGCAGTGCCACTAGTCCTGTCTCCATCGTCACACTCGTGTCATAGCTTATCAGGTGCACCACCACCTGTAGAACAGAAATCCAGCCTCTTGTCTTCCCCATCCTCATCCCCTTCCAGATCAGTCATCTGCTCTAGTGGATCACCTGCAGTTTCTAGTTCAAAGCCTTTTAAGGGTTTGGTCAAGTCCCTTTCAACAGACGTGGAACCGAAAGAACCCACCCCACCGATGCGACATAGACAGTTAATGAAAACCTTAGTGAAATCTCTGTCTACAGACACTTCTAAGCAGGAACCTGAAGCTGTGTCTTACAGGCCACCCGACTCGAAGCTGAACTTGCATCTGTTCAAACAGTTCACCCAACCTCGAGCTACAGGTGGTGACTCCAAAACTGCCCCCTCATCTCCATTAACATCTCCCTCTGATACTCGTTCCTTTTTTAAAGTACCTGAGATGGAGGCTAAGATTGAAGATACTAAGAGGCGCCTTTCTGAAGTCATCTATGAGCCTTTTCAGCTCCTCAGTAAAATAATGGGTGATGAAAGTAGTAGCCACAGGCCCAAAGCCTTATCTTCAAGTGCTTCAGAACTCTCAAACCTTTCCAGTTTGAATGGCCATTTGGAAAGCAATAACAACTACAGCATTAAGGAAGAAGAATGTGATTCTGAAGGGGACTTCTATGGAAATGGCTCTAACCTGGATAAGAACAATCAGTCAAAAGTGGCTGAGGAACATGCTAAAGAGGTGGAAAACAAAAGCTCTCAGTCTGCAAGCACAAAGGACACGAGTTCAAAAACTTCAGTCGTACTTGAAAAATGTTCATTGTCTGCACTAGCAAGCAGAGAGGATGAGGAGTTTTGTGAACTGTATTCTGAAGACTTTTCCTTCCTAGAGGATGAAAGCAAGGCCGATAAACCTTCTGAAACTTTATTCGATTCTGAGATGACTGAGGAAAATGGTACTATGCTCAGTAGTGAAAATGGAGATCTGTATCTGCAGCAGCCTAAAATACCAGTGAAAACTTTATACTCCTTAACACTGTTAGTCTATGCTTATTTTATTATCCCTCTCCCTGGGTACTTAAGTGGACTCTTACTTGGAATGGCCCTTGGATTTATGATAGCTGTCTGTGTGATTTGGCTTCTTACTCCACGTACTCATGAATATCTCAAATTACATAAAAGTATGAAAAAGCGATGGAAGACAGAAGCTCTGGACATCAAAGAACCTGAAATACTGAAGGTGAGGCTGTGGCATTTTGTGTGTGTCAATGCTGTGTGTGTTATTTGGAGTAGAAGCAGTGAACTAGATTTATTCTGAAGGTGTAATGAGCTGACTTATCTCCGTTTGCAAATAGAGTATTGCTTAAGGGTCAGTGGCTTTGGCAGGGGCACAAATAGTTTAATATCCAAGAATATGTGAGACTTCAGTGTCCTTAAGGTTTAATAGAAAAACAGAATTCCTTCAAAAGTAAAAGGGCAAATGGTTTTGCTGGTGGAATTTAAATGATCCAGCTGAACTACTGAGAGCAAGTGGTGTCAGAGTTCAGTGTGTAAAATAACATTTGTGCTTGGAGCTGATTTTGGGAGATATGTTTTGTTTCTGGGCTATTTTATTCTCTAGGCAGTAATTTGCCTTGTCTGATTAATCTAGGCAAATTCAAAAGCACGTTCAAGAAAAACATAGATAGTTGGAGAGCATATGGATTCTCCTTAAACATTGGCTAATTAGAATGGGAGGAAGAAAGAGTGATGAAAGGGACATACTAATGGGTTACAACATCTGTGGTTCTGTGGTTCTTTGCAAGGTGCAAGAATAAAACACTGTTGTGCTGGTTAGTGTGTGCTTCTTTAGATTCTGTATCTGTTTCACTCAAGGGGCTCTGGTATTGAAGGGAGAACACACCCCCACCAACCAGAAAATGTACACAATTCCCCTGCATCTGCAGTGTATGTTTTCTTCTCTTCTTATTCCCTTAGTCTTAATTTCTCTAGCTTCCATTACTTTTTTTTCTGTGTCCACATTTTTTTTCTTCTTCAATACATTAATTTTACCTGACTTCCTTATTGGCCTACTCAGGTGTGCATTCCCTTTTGTGAAAACAAAAGGTTTTAAGTAACATTTAAAATGGAAATGATGAATTTACCCTTTCCAGTCAAAAGAACTTTTATGAGAAGACACTATTGGCAGTGCCTGCTAGAGAAATTAACATTTTTGAATCACAGCTGTACAAAGAGGAGCCTTTTTCCAGCATGCTATTCCTGAAAGTCACCCAAGAGATTCTATGCTTGAGAGTGGCCTCTGGCAAACAAATGTGCTTTCCAGTTAAGGTGATGGCTACTTCTGCCCTCCTTAGACCTATTTTGTGTCTTGAGATTCCCTGTCAATGAAAGCTCAAAAAACTGCATTACGTTTTTTCTCATTTATCAATCACTTATAAAAGCTGTGCTGCCCAATATTCTAAATGAATACTTTTTCAGGTTAGTTACCAGGCTGATGGTGAAGCACTTTCTCCTAGTTTCAGCTGGGAATTGAGAGCAAATGATGACCTTTATGATGGAGATCACAGGATCAGTGTAAATGGCAAGCAGCTGCAGAGTAGCATATGACTATGGTTATTGTCCTCCCTGAATTACTAAATTTCTTATTTTAACAACTTTGCTAGTACAAAAAAGGCCCCATCATACAGTCACTTTTCCCCTACACAAGGAAATCCATTGTTGTTTCAGTAGTTCAGGAAAATTCATCTGTTGCTAGTACGTTATGGTGACACAACTTCTCTGTTTAGATGCGTTGCAAAGCGGTTTCCGTAGGCTGAGTCTTTTGTTCCAGTTTGTTTTTGCAAAGAGAGGGGCGGAGGTGTTTCTGCTAAAATTGTTCTTGAAATGCAGGAACTTTGGAATGAATCTTGGGATTTCTTGGATAACCTTCTCAAAAATGGTTTTCTATGCTAGATGAAACAATTTACAAAAATGAAAATGGATGAAGGGAGGAGGCAGATTGTCTTGTTTCCCTCTTTAACATGGTTAGATAGATAGGGAAAATTCCAGCAGCTAGTACACATGTTCAGATTAGTTAATATAGTGAAGAATGATAATTTGGTTAAGTATTCACATTTCACACTCAGCCATGTCATGCTTCTCTGTTACAGAATAACTTGAGTGCGAAAATAAAATAGTGCATACTTAAAGATGAGGAAACTAAAACATTATGTATGAGGAGGGTTTGCAGTGTTGTAGTATGGAATCTCTTTCATCCTGACTATTGGCTAGCTACTGTCTGAAAATAAAACCCCAAATATTTCAATTTAAACTTGTGTATCTTTTGTTTTTGCAGCCAATCCCTTGCACAGAAATTGCTGTATAGGCTGCTGGTTTAGATGTTAAATGGATTTATGTTCTGTTGCTTTGAGATTTTGAACATTCAGCAGCTTAAGCAGCTAAAAGTCATTGGTAAAAGTCTTGGACAGCTTTTTCAGTTACTAATATTCCGATGGTTGTGCTAAGAGAAGCAGCGTTTGCACTTGTGTTGAGTTTGTTCCATACAGTGAGCAGGAGAGGCAGCAGTATGGGTTTGACCATTGTGTGTTTGGCAGATTATGTAGCTAATCCATTTGTTTGAAATGGAAAGTCAGGGCACGTGGTAGGGATCAGAAGAGCAGGTGGGTCTTTTCAAGGCTCCTGGATGCTGAAAGAGAAGCAGGAATATACAAACTGAGGAAGCAGAGATTCAGTTTTATTTATTTTTGCCCTTTAAATTCAGTGTCTTGCTGCTTTTGGGAAGAATGTGGTGATCTTCAAAACAGTCTCTCTCTGCTGTTGAGTTGTGTAGGGAAGGAAATCTGGCAGAAGAGCTGGCACTGTTAGGGAAGGAATGGGATACAAAAGGTCCTAGTGGATGACATCCTGGATCGATGAGACCCCAATGCCACTAGAGGTTCGTGGAACTTTGTTAGGTCACAGAATGTAGCCTGGACCTTGCACCACTGTGTCACAGATGTGGCTGTGGCATCTCAGTGTGTGCTTGAGGAATAAAACTAAAAGTGATTGTAAGGGTGTTGGGTAACAATTGTGTAGCTGCTGAGAAGGTGTAACAGAGTCAGTGCATTTGTCGTGTGTCCCAAGGTGTTCATATTTTCTCACTTCTCAGCTTTTCGTCTTTGAAGCTATGTTCATGGATTTTTACTGATGAACTGTAAATCATGCCTGCTTTTCATTGCTGCATGTCCTTTGCTCAGCTCAAGTGCTTGTGTTGGAAAACTCCATCCAGTTCCACCTTAATCGGGATGTTAAAGAAACTTCAAGTGTGCTCTGACCTTCCTTCTTGAGTACTGCACATGCCCAGAGGTTTCCAAAGCTCCTGCTGGGAATAACTTCCTAGTTTATTACAGTTATAAAAAGGGCTCTTTTGGCTAAGCTTCATATAAAGTTGCACTTTCCAAATATCCCTTTATCTTTGTGCCAGTTTGTGTGCTCTTCGGCTGAACTACCTTGCAGAAGAAGGTGATGACTTCTTAGGCAGCACATTTTTGTCTGTATGTTTACTTGGCTGCAGGCTCCAGACTTGGGTGTCTGAGCTGGAAATAGCTCAGAGATCTGATCCAGGGGGCAGGTGGGAGTCTCTCCAGAGATCTTCGGGCCATATGGATATTCCAGCTCTGCACAGAGTGAAGGGCTCACGGTGGCTTTAGGCAACTCATTTGATGTCCTTGTGCTTCAGTATGTCCAGCTGGAGTTCTTGGCTGAAAATTAATTGCTGTCTGCTCAAAGATGTCTTGGCTTAATAATTTCTAGGAAGGAAATGAGATGTGCTCAAACAAACATCAACCCTGCTGTGTAAAATCTCGATGGTTTATAGAAAACTCTTCCTCATGCATTGTATTTCTTCTGTGTTAATGGTACATAATCCAGTGCAAGCAAAAAGCCCAAGCACAAAGCTGCTTCAAAGAGCATGTGTTGGTATAGGTATTTCTGTTAATAAAAAATAGGCTGCTTTGGAGCTGAGCAAAGATGAATAACTTAATATTTTCTGAACATAAATGCCTATTGATCTAGATTTGTCGGGGTTTATAGTGAAAATGGAGCTACATGTTGGACTAAGCAAAACAGATATTAGTGTTACTATGGCACCTGAGAAAAGTATGTGCTGTCTGCTTTGAGAAACTATATGGCATGGAAGTAAATATGCATTAAAATAAATTTGACATTTCTATGTATGGGTGGAAAACTTTTAATAAGGTTAAAATGTGGCAGTAGTTTCTGAGATGTTTTGTGTAAGGTGGTTACAATGTTTTTGTTTTGAAGAATACTAGGGATCCCCACTTCTCAGCAGCAGATCCTCTCCCCCTTGCTATACTCATCTGGGTATTTATCAAGATGCCATTCTGCTTTATGCTCTGTGGTACATCTGTTTAAGTCTATCTCCTTAGCTTTCTGTTTCATTAATGAATATTCAGGGTGCTGAATTAAGGTTTAGCTGTGCAGGTAGAAGTAATTATTGAAGTATGTTGTAGGGCAGGTTAAGAGAAGAAAAACTTGTCCTCCTTGAATGAGTATTCTGGCTTGTCTTCTGCCCCATTTATCATCTTGCATTTCCTGTAATCAGATGTTCGAGGAGTAACATCACCCCCATGGTTAGTCAGCAATTACAGGCTTGTTACAGCAGGGCTGGCTTGTTTGTTTTCTGATTCTTTTACTGCACAGAAACAAATGACATTTAATCCACATGTATGATGCGTGTGTTGTAACTGGGCAGTTACAAAACTTGTGCAATTATGTTAAACAGTGGTAGTGTGTTAAAACAAGCTCCATTGTGGTCTTCCACTCACTCCTTAATTGTTGGTGGTGAAAATGCCAGTCCTGTCTATAAACAGACAGACTGTTTGCTCTGCCTTGACTCTTGGTGATTAAAATGCCCATGTTTGCTGTAGGCAGACGGGCTGCTCTGCAGCTTGCTCTTCCTGGCTGCCTTGTGTCTTTTCCCAGGAAGCCCACCTGTGCAGATTTCACAGCATTTCATCAAGGTGAGGTGGAAGAGCACCGCACTACAGATGCAAAAGGGCTTATTCAGAAAAACAAGTGCTGTGCTTGGGATACAGTCCTTGTTTCATGCTGTCAGTTTGGTGCTACCTCACTTAGGGTGTTACTGCTTTGTTGTATTTATGCAGTAAGTGAAATAACCTTGGCAAAAGCTTGGGTAATTATTTAAAACTTTAGCGTGCATGTTATACTTGGTTTTCCAGTAGCTTAAAGGCCCTTTACTGAGTGTTTTCTTTTCTAGGGATGGATGAATGAAATTTATAATTATGATCCAGAAACATACCATGCCACATTGACTCACTCTGTCTATGTGCGACTTGAAGGAAGCACCTTGCGGCTTTCAAAACCCAACAAGAATATTTCCAGAAGGGCTCTGTACAATGAGCCAAAGCCTGAAGTCACGTATGTCAGCCAGAAAATTTATGAACTTACAGAAAGCAAGGTGAGTGAGCGTGCCTTACTTAGTTCTGATTTTAACAAGTAATAATTTGAAGATTTTCTTTGAAATGTCGTTGGTTTTTTCACTGCTCCAGTTTCATGTGCTTTCATTATCTAAACAAAACTGTTGTGGTGACTAACTTGCAGAAGATTGTGCTGGAGAGGAAGGTTGAGGATTTAGAAGAACACATATTTACACAGTAAAGGAAGGGCATGATTTTCCTCTGTCAGTTCAAAGCAGAAGCTAACACATGGGAGTTTAGAGAATTGTTCCCCATGCATTAGATTACTGTGTGACTGTTCTGAAGCCTAAATCACAGTGCATAATCTTCGGTGATTGTCTCTATCCCAAGGCAGTTCAGGCAACATCTGCATTTCACTTGAAGGGGGAGCATACTTTGTTTATGAATGTAAAAGATGAGCGTGAGAGGTGGCTGGAACAGGCAGGACTTGCTGTTGGTACCCGCTGAAGGAGACCGAGATATTTACGGTTGAAAGAGTGCATCAGGAATAATGCTGAGACAGGTTTTTCTACATGTTATTTGCCTCCATTAAATCTATGAAGAGTTGCCATGTGAAGTTGATTCTATTGGCATTGTATTAAGTAATACATCAATACCACATTAGTAAAAGAATGGATTATTTTTAATGTGCTGCATCAACAAAGGGCCTTGGCAGTACAGATGTAGGAGGAAGCTGCTTCAATTGATGGTGGGAGTTAGAGGGAGATAGGGACCAAGAGGAAGTGAGGAAAACCTTCTGTCATTTCCTTGAATCACTATGTGAAAGAAGCTTGCTGCCAGCTCTGCCTTCCCTTAAAGCAAGATGGTGAAAAAGATGCAGCAAAACCTCAGATTCCTGCCTGTTGCAGGTTTGGTATCTTGTAATGAAGACAGCAAAGCTACATGCTACAAGAGCATTTGCCTGACAATAGTTCCCCATGGTATCTCAGAAAAATTTCCAGCACTTCTGCACCTCACCTACTTCCCCACCCTGACTGGATGCAAAAGTGCTGGGCACCATTAATATAATAAGCAAACTATGGTTATTCTCCAAGATATTTAACCACAGTTTTTGGAAAACGTGAGTAAGTTCAGCCCATAGCTTAGAAATTTTAACTCATTGCTCTTCTCATCACTTGCTTTGTTTCAGTTCTGTCTGAATATACTGAATTGACAATATAATTATCTGCAAATCACTTTTATTCCTTGATTCTGATGTACTTGATGATACTATTGCCACATTCAAACACTCAGTTTCATGTAATGTGCCTGAAAAGTTGAGTTTTAAAACTCAGTTTGGATTCTTGTTACCTACTCCCTAGTCACATAAATAGGGTTCTTGTTCTTTGTATTTTTTCTGCATAAGTATGAGAATAAGATCTTTAAATGAAAACTGAGTTTCTTCATGTGACTGTAGAAGTCTAAGCTACTTAAATGGTCTTTGTTTTAATTCCAAGTCTGTGGTTCACCAGAGACCTAGTGACAGCTGTGGATTGGATATCAACCAGCTATAACTTAAGAGACAGTTAGACCCAGCAGATTCACTGTAGGATCTGTGTATCTCATTCCTGTATTCTTTGTGTGACTACAGAAACACAGAAGATGCAACTCAGAAGTAAGTTAATTAAACCCTTTCATTTATGCTTCAGATTTCCCTGGTTCCTAAGAGTCTGGCACGAAAACGGATTTGGAATAAGAAGTACCCAATTTGCATTGAACTTGCTAGACAGGAGGACTTTATGGCTAAGGCCCAGACTGATAAAGAGAATACAGAGGAAAAGTTACCTGCTGAAAGCATAGACTTGAACAATGAAGAATCCAAGAAACCTCAGGATGGTGCAAAGTACACTAGCCAAAAGGATCAAGTGCTTTACCTCTTTGGAAGGACAGGTAGAGAGAAGGAGGAATGGTTCAGAAGGTTCCTTCTTGCATCTAAGCTGAAATCTGAAGCAAAGAAGCCATCCAGTTTATGTGGAAGCAAGACAGGTATTCAAATGTTGTGTTCTAGTAAAAGTGTCTATTAAAAGAAACAAATCCAAGTTACTTTTTCTCTGTGTTAGTTACAACACTTGTGGAGCCACAGTGATCTTTACAAACGATTAATAGTAAAGGCACTTTTCTGCTCCTTATCTTGGCCTCTCATTCCCACCTTCTCACCCTGCCTTGTCCTATCTTGGCCATATATGTATATGGCTAGATTCCCTCAACTATTCTTACTATTTTTAATGTGAATACAGTAGTTTTCCATGACTGTAGCAACTCCTATTATTTTTACAATGCTGAATTTTTCAATCCTTTTCTTCTTTCTGTACTATTGAACTGATGTCAGTATTTGCAGTATTAGTCATTCCTCTTATTACCCATTTTTCCTTTTCTAGAATTCCTTCCACTCCAATCTCCTGTAAAGACTGAAGAGCTTTCTCATGGGTTAATATCTCAAGGACATTTTTGTCTAAATAAAAAGTTGTGTGCTAATACATACATATATGAACCAACAAACGTGTTAGTCTACAGTGTTGATCAAACATTTGAAATATTAATTTTAAACATCACCTGATATAATTTTAAAACTGAATGACTCGTGCTTTTCTGTCTTCACTCACTGAGAAGCTTTTAAAAAATTGATTAACATCATTATTTCTGGCACATAACTTCTTGAAATGCAAATGCAAAAATTAATGGCTAATTAAGATTCTAATAGTTACATGCTTTTGACATTCCTTTTAATTGTAACAGTCTACAATTAAATAATAATTAAAAAGTGTAGTTATAGGTACATTTTCATCACCTGACTTTTATTTTAGGCATTCCCCAGCAGGACTGTTGGGAATTCTGCCATATGTTGTACATATGTGAGTGTCTATATTTAAATATGCTATTGATCAGCTGATTTTTCCAGTCACACATCCTGCTGAGTGCTGAGTCATACCAAATATTGACTATTTTGGGCTTAGGACCACCTAAGCACACTGTAGTAGAATTTACTTCTACCCTTCAAAATGAGAAAGCAGTGCTTTGAGTGGTCTTTTTTCAGAACAAATTGAATCTGCTAGCTAATTTTGTTCCTTTTAAGTGTTTGGTCACACACTCTGCTATTTGACTGCCAGGTTCCTTTTCTCTTAAACAGGTATTATTCCTTTTGATTTAGGGATCTTGCCAGCACACAGCAGAGCTGATGCTCAGTCTGGAGTTCTCACACACAGCCGAAGCAGCAGCAAGGGAAGTGCAGAAGAAATTGCATCCCAGCCGAAGCACAAGGATCTGGCTGGCAACGTGCGGCAGAAAATGCTTCTGGACTACAACGTTTATATGGCAAAGTGTGTTCCTCCTGAAAAGAAAAGCCCTTCAGGTAGTCCAGTCCTCAGTGCAGACAGCAGCCCTACAGCTGTGAAAAAGGTAATGCTTTTCCCTCCAGATTTTCCTAATGTCCAGTCTAAGGATTTGATTACATTGGATTAATCCTTTGGTCTCATGGACTGCAGTTGGATCACTCTTAATAAACAGAACCTTAGTATAAAGTACAACACTCTTAAACATATCCTGGCCATGAAGTACCATCACCATTCATTTTCAATATGTCATTCATGTGATGTAACTTTGTTGCTGGACTTTTATATAATGTCCAGAAAAGACCAGAAGGCCACATATTAATATATGTGTATAACATATTAATAAAAACATCTTGTGTTTCCCTAGAAAAAAGGTATTATTGCTTCTGACAACCCTGAAGCAGTGATGAATTTGCTGCTGAATCTGGCACGTGTCAGAAATCGTTCTATAAATAGATCAATGGTGCTGGCAGGAGTTGTGCGTCACAGCAGAAGCTAACCCAGCAGCCCTGCCTGCGTGAGGCTGCAGCCACTGGAGCAACCCCTGCCAAGAGATGATGTTCAGAACTGAAGTATCTACCTGACTGCTCTTAGAAAGCACTGCTTTTCTGCTGGCTTCAGGATTGCTGCCTGGATTAACAAAAGGCAAATCCTCCTGTCATTGCAGGCATTTGAGAGATGTCAAATATGTTGTCTCTTCTTAATGGAAACCTCCTGGTTTTAATGAAGGACATGATAGCATGTACACACCTGTAATTATTGCAGCTGCCTTTGCTTTCACATCAGTAGTCAGTGGTGCAACATCTGAACATGTATGTCCAGCTGTTTTGAGACCGAGACATAATCCTCTTGGACTGTGAACAAAACCTTTTATGCAACTGAAGGAACAGTAGGTTTCCTGCATCCTAAATGCAAACATTAGAAGGGTGTGTTTCCTTGTACTGCATTTGTTTATTATCTATTTGTGATGTTTCTGAACTGGATTTAGGGATGTAAGATGGGGTTTTTATTTCTTATATTTTGAGGTTAAATTACATACAACTTTCTCATTTCATTGCCAGAGGTGAACCCATATCTATGTAGTCTTACTCTGTTGCCTGTCAGGATGATGACAGACAGGCTCATGTCAGGCCAGCTGATGTGGTTGTAAAGCTACTATGTGTGCTGAGTGTTTAGTTTTCTTAGCTAAGCCAGGCTGTCATTCTGAACTTCCCAATGTAAATGAAAATGAGGCCTTTTTTGTTTATAGAAATTTAGTTTATAGAACTTGAAGAGCTGAATAATCTGTTCTGTGTTTTCAGTTACCAGATGCCCACGTAGAAGCTGAGGAAGAGGAACAGGAGGCCTGGGTGAATGCTTTGCTTGGAAGAATATTTTGGGATTTTTTAGGAGAAAAGTATTGGTCTGATCTAGTGTCAAAGAAGATCCAAATGAAACTTAGCAAAATAAAGGTAACTTATATGAAGACTTGCACTACACATTCCCTATGGAAGAAAGCAAACACGCAGTCTTTGAGTTCGAAAACAGTAGAAGAAACACTTATTTTGCACTTAGGTACTTGTCTTTTACATAAAAATGCGATGCAGAGTTCCAGTTCAGCTTTGCTATCCATTTCACAGTGGTATCTCAACATGTTAACTTTGCTGCTTTAGCTGGATGGAACTATTTGTGTCTGAAGTTTTAATGTAAAAAAAGTTCAAGTATTATTGTATTTGCTCTAGGGTTAAACAGAACTACTCATAAGTTATGAAATCTACGTTGGGAAATCATAGGTCGGCTTTAAGATGAAGGAGATCAGGGAACCACAATTCTAATGTGCTGTTAACTTCATGCATACTGCTTGCAGGAGAGGTCAGTGGGAGTAGCAGTCAGGAAAGGAGCTGTCTGTGGGGTGATGGGATGTAATTGTGCATCTGCTGCTTAGGCTCAAAGGGTGAAGGGAGGAAAGATGCTTTCGAATGACTTCTGGGTCTTCCCTTTGCATTCTGTAACTCCTGAACAGCAGCAGTTAATCACAGGGCTGTTTAGCTCCTGATGTGTGGGGAGGAGTTTGCCTGTTCCTAAAGGCAAAGATGTAGTCTTGCTGACAAAAGCTCTGCAATTTAACTGTCTGCACCAGCTGTGAGAGAGCCCTGTGCTTTGGGCACAGTAACCTCCATTCTGCCCTGGCTTTTTTCCACAATTGTGACTGCAGAGTACCCAGACATCTCACGGGCAGCAGTTTAAGGGGAATGACTTTAATGGAGGATGGATTTGGTTTTGATAGGTTAGAGCACTGGCTGTTCACAGGAGATAAAATTTCTATCAAGTAAAAATACAGTAGATAACCAAATAATTGTGATTCTGGGCCTCTATTATACTAAAATTATGATACAGATTTAAAAGCTAATGTGCTGTGAAATAATTTGCCAAATATAAAAATAGCTGAGGCACTGGTGTAACTGCAACTATAAAATATGTGACTGAATTTGAAATCCAGATAAGTCTTTGTTGTTTATTCACTGTAAAATAAGATTTACACTTCATTCTTGAGATTTTTACACACTTTGACTAAAGACTATGCTGGAGGGTTAAAGGTCAGCATCTGAACTTCAGCATAGTTTAAAACCAAGTTCAGATGCTGAATCTCTCTCTAAAATATTACTTTGAAACTGGTAACTAGGAAATCCTAGATTTGGAAGAAATGTGTAATTGTTGTTGTGTTCTCTCACTGATGTCTTTTCTGACCTGACTGGTCTTAAGTTTAATGACTTTTTTTCTCTCAGATAGCTATGATGTTAGGTTCCATAACATGGCTTTGAGTTTTACATTCTGTTCTTCTAGCTGCCATACTTCATGAATGAGCTGACTCTAACTGAACTTGACATGGGGATAGCAGTGCCGAAGATCCTGCAAGCCTTCAAACCTTCTGTTGATCACAGAGGTAAAATAGATGCTTCCCCTTCTGGTCTTGCCAGGTTCATGCTTTCCTACTTGTGGAAAACAGAATTTTGATCTGTTTATCTTGTGGGTGATCTAATCAGAGGAAGGTAAGCTTAATAAGAGCTTATTGGTCTGTACGTCCAATAGCAGTAGAATCAGGTGTGGTATAAACAGTTCTGGAGATGTGGAAGTAGGATCATGTCTTTCCATTGGAAATAATAACTGGACTAAACTGACCTTTGCATGCAACAGAGATGCAGACCTCTATCTGATGCTCTGTCATGGACTACAGAGGCAATGTGCATCTCCTCAAGTCAGGTCTGATTCTTCTGTAGCAGGGAACAGATCTTGCTCTCTTCAAGAGGAGCTGTTCTGACAGCTGAAAAAAAGACAGCTTGCAATAACTCAGAAAACAAGAATAGGATTGCTTTGAAAAGAAACTTAAATACAGGATCATTTTATGTCCTTAATATCAAATACGGATTTTTTTAAAAAGCAGTATGACTTTTGTACTGCTGCTTTATGAATCAGAACTTTTCCTTTTCTGTTCTTTCTGGCTTGCATATGGTCCCAGGAGCATATCTGAGGATACTCTTGTCACTTAAGTAGTTTTACAAAAAGACAAACTTGGGTTAATGTTTTATACTTTCAAAACTATTTGTTCTACAGGTTGAGGAGAGGTAGATGCCACCTTTTTTCTAAGATACTTAATCAGACCAGTTTTTATTTTTAATTTTTTTCTGACTTTATTAAGGGTTTCTTGTCTCCTCTCACACCATTCTCTCCTGTAGTTACCATTTTGTTATGCTGGGCTGGAGAAGTGAAAGAGAATTAATTAACTCAAGGTGGAGAAGTTTCTAATTGGTCTAAGGGGAAATATTTCCTTGGACGCCCTGTTGTGGTACAGCTATGGATTGCATGGCAAACAACTTATTTTTGTTTTAAACTCCTCTTTCCATTTTTAGATGAAGGTGTCAAAATCAGTTTTAGGTTATGTTAAAATCAATACATGGGTAGTGAGGTAGAAGTCACTTGTGCACAGTATCAGACAATCGGCCAGTTTCTGCTCAGAAGCAATTTAGGTTTTGTTTTTGCTCATATTATATATAGTCTGGACCTGGTCTATTTAAGGTTTATTCAATGATAGTTTTCATGTAAGACTCATTTTTCTGCCACTCCTGTTGCAGTGCTCTTCTCTGCCTCAGATGATCAGTTAGCATCAGACCTTTGCAAGAATACTCGATGCATAAAATTGAGGAGGAAATAAATAAACTTTGTCACTCGTATTAAAAATGTTGTGGCATTCAAATCAATAACTAAAAGCATGAGGAAGGTGGCTCTAACCTTTCCCTTTTGAAAGTGAAAAAAACCAGGCTTTGGGGAATTATGAAAATTCTTTCGGACATACCTAATGTTAACCAGTGCTGCCTGTTGTAACCAAATGCTGTTGTTTGCCCTTGCTCACCTGGGATGTGCAACCCTTTGGGGAAAAGCCAAAACACATAAAACAATGGGTGCTTTGCCCTCAACTTCTTGAAAGTATGTTTTCCACTGAGCTTTCTAAACCAAATTGTTTGAAAAAAGCAAACTGTTCTGTCATCATGAGGAACCGAAACTGTCATGAAGAGAAACGAAAATCGAATAGATGGAATAAGCTCATGTGGAATCAGCATTTGGGGAACTAAAACATATTGCTGCTTCTTGTCATCTGCTTCCTGCGTTGGACAGTGGGTTTTCCATGGTACTGATCCCATCTTCTGGTGTGCCCAGTAGCAAAGTGACTTCACCATTGGTAGAAATTTTGACTTACAGAAAACAAAGTGAAAACTTTTAAAAAATAACGTCATGTATGATGCTTGCCAGGTGGTTTTGTGGTTTCTTTCTAAACGAACATACACTTTGGGGTTTTTGTCAGTGTGTTTCCTTTTGCCTAGATTTAGACATTTTTTGGAACTCCTTTCTAGGTTCTCATAACTAGTTATAACAAGACTCTAGTTCTGAGACATGAGATGAGATTTAGGAGACTGCTGAACACCTGGCTTCAATTAATTGCCAACAACACCAGTGAGAACAATTAACTCCTTCAGTTTCTTGTTCAGTTAAACTTTGACAAGCAAACATTTATGGTAGAATTTGTAATCCTTGTAAATTCTTTCATGTTGCAAATGACATGTGAACTCTTGGTATCTGAGGTTTTAAGGGTTTGCAGTGAGTAATTAATCTAATAATTTGCTTTGCTTTTGTACTTAAAAGGATGTAAGTAAATGAGGGGATGGTAATTGGAAATGTTTGTTTTCTTAAGGATAAATGTATTTCTTGGTAAATTGACCTATGAATAAACCACCAGTGAGAAAAATAACATCCTGAAACTTCAGGCCAGTATCCAAAACGAACACTTAAACACGAACTGAAGTGTTTGAGACAATCAGTCATTTGAGATAGGTTTTTGCAAGGCTTCAAATGCAGTTACTCATTGTGATGCACTTTGTTTCATCTATACTTTTTAGCAGAGACTACAAGGAAATTTTTTTTTTTAATTATATGGCTCCTCTAAGTACCTAAATTTGTTAACAATGTTAGGGAAAAAAGCCCCACCTTGTTTCTGTCAATACAGGCCTGTCTGAGTGACAGCATATGCTGTAGTATTTACTGTAAAGACTAGGGAACCAGATAACTCTGAAAAAATGGTACCATCTGCCCAGCTCTCCACCCTCTTTTTCTCCCCTCCCTCCCTTTTTCACTCCAGAATATGCGTATCAACATTTTCTGGCCAGAAGGAGTTTTCCCTCTCAGTAATGGCAACATTTGCAGAATTTGATCTGCTGTTAAAACAGCATTGGTATTTGAAGCATGCTGGCTCCTTGGTGACCCAAAAGGTCTCTCGAGCTGTTTTCTAGTTTCAGATCTTCCTGCTGCTTGGCTATAGTAACAAACCTACTTAGGCTTGTGTTTGAGTTCTGGTGGTTTGTGATGGAAAAGAATAATTTGGGTTAGTAAAGAAACTTCTTGCCTTCAGTTCTGCTTCTGACATGTAATATCGTTGTGGATCAGTGTCCCTGGTCTTTAGGAGCTGTGTGTGTTTTTGTTACTATAAATGGGTGGGAGTGGGGACAGTGCCATTCTTCTGATTTTTCTTTTTGCAGTAAATAAAACTGTTGTTCTTTAACTGAAAAAAAAAGAAAAGTTTTATTTCTAGATCAATCAAATTCAAAGTGTAGTTACTGTTAATTTATTGCAGATAAGTAGAATGCATTAAGGGGTTGATGTGCTAGATACTGGTAGGGCATCCTGTGTGCAGCTGCCATGTCTGGAAAAGATACATAATCTATGCTTAGTGGCATCTGACTTCTGATCTCTGAATCACAAATACCCTACAGCTTTTTTAATGGATGGGACTGGAGGGTGTCACTTAAGAGGCAGGACCTAATCTTTCCATTATTCCCAAGACAATTATTTTGATGATTGCAGTAAGCGCATAGTCTGCTCAGGCAATAAGATTTAACTTAAGACTAGACATCTACAATTGTTCTAAGTAATCACCCTGTTTGTTGTGAGTTCTGGTTCATACCTGAACATTCAGCTTTGTCCCATAACCTTATTGAGAACAGTAAACTTGCTTTGATAAGCTTTTCATTATCTTGAGCTAACGACATCATCAGCTGAAAAAAAGCAGGTTTTCTCTTTGGAAAAAGTGATAGAGACTTTTTAAAATTACTTTTGGCTTGACAGGAAAATAAAAGTGGTTGTGACTGTTCTTAAAATGACATCTTTGTTGTTGTTTTTAATTTTAGGGCTTTGGGTTGATTTGGAAATGTCCTATAATGGATCTTTTCTGATGACCCTAGAGACCAAGATGAACTTGACCAAACTTGGTAAAGAGCCGCTTGGTGAAGCGCTGAAAGTTGGAGAGATTGGCAAAGAAGGGTAAGGTCTTGCAGAGGTAGAATCAAAGGAGATTACACCACTGATAATTGTCTTAGTAAGAGGCTTTTGTAGTACAATCATTTTCAAAATATATATTGTAATAGGATTTTAAAATGTTGGGTGACTAGGGGTCTTACACAGCAAGACTTGAACATTGGAGGCAGATGTAGTTACCATGCTGCTACAGCAGGTAAACCATGTAGTAGGGAGCAGCCCTGGAAGAGAAAAATAGGTTGCAATTGTCATGCAAAGGCTTTTTCAATAGCTTTATTGCATCATGGGAATAATCACACCCCTACTCTTGTCTCCAGTTCTCATAGCCCACTGTTATTTACCTGCTGTGTCTAAGTGAAATACCTTATGGATGAACAGATCAGAAAAAACACATACTTTAACTTACCTGACTTCTGTTTGTGCTTTCCCTCTCATTTTTATGATGTTATTGGAATTTAATCAGTTTGCCCATTTGTATTACCCCAGTGAGTGATACCTGTCAAATATCCATCCTGTCTGCTGTGGGGTGTTGATTCTCTTTGTGCTGTATTCTCTTTGTACTCCAGGAATCTGTAGTCCCTGGACAGTAGGTGGTCCCTGATTTAGTGTACAACCACTGCCAACAAATCAAGAAAATATTCTCTATATCTGGCTGTTTGTTTAGATAAGAACAAAATGTTCAGAATTAAGATACTAGATGCTTTCTATGCTCCTGCTGTAGCTCTGACCATTTATTCTGAGAAATCTTGAATACTTAGAGCAGCACCACATTACAGTGCAGTCATGGCAAAAAGATATATGTGGAAAAACTAATGGCTGAATGATCTCATACACTGGTAGAAATTTAGAGGATTTAAAATCGACCTAGAATCTCGTTTTCACTGCCTGAGATAAATATTTCTGAATTGACATCAGTATAATGGGTAGGTGTGAATTTTGAAAAATCTTATTCTTTCAAAAACTGGAGGATTGAGAAGGAAATCTCTTTACAAATCGAATTCTCTCTTTTCTTCCCCATCCCTTCAGGTTTTCCTTTGTGTATTTTTATATCTGTCTAGTGGAAGAACAACCTCAGAAATAATAAGTGAATACATTGATTTAATATTTAAAAATCAGCTTGATTCGAGCTGAGCACTGTGCCCCCAGCAACGCAAATGTAAATGTCTGTAGCTAAGCAACCAATGGCTTGCAGGTACAGCCATTAACTGCACTGTTCCCTGTGACAGGGCCAGGTTCTGTGCCAGCTTTACATAAAGAGCAGTCTCATGTATTCTAGTTTGAATGAGGTTTTATTTGGTTACTTGGTTGCCTTTTTTTTTTCTCCTTAAATACAGTGGATATTACAAACATTATGAGTATTTACAGTTATATTAACGAACAAAGACTCTGAGAAGTACAAAACAGTTTGATTCTCCTGTATGCTTTCCATTGTGTTAATTTTACTGGCTTTTTTAATTGCCTGTTGACAATAGCTGTAACAAATCAAACTATTCTGCATGTGTTTGCATCCACAATCACATTGTCTGTCAAGGATGTGTGTTGGCTGCTTGCAGTCATTTCTGTCCCTCAAGAACAAAGAACCAACCACCTCTTCAGATGCAGTCACCACAAAGGGATGTAAGAAAGGCATCTACTCATCCAGAAAGAGGAGGGTGGGGAAACAGCACTGAGTTTTACCTGTCCTTGGATACTGTCAGTGTAAACCAAGATGGTTGGTTCAGGGTTGCAGTCCATTCTATTGCTGCTGCTGCGTCACTGTTTGAAATAGAACTGAAGTGTGCAGTTCTGCAGTTTGATAATGCTGTCCTGCATGCACTCTCAGCAAAACGCAGCTCTCAGCAAGGGTGGAATACTATTTAATTGCCAATTTGATAAAATTAATATGGTAGCAGGTTCTGCCATACCAGTGGTGAGGCAAATGAAGGCAGGCAAACCCAAAGTTACCACAGTTTCTTACCCCGTCAGTGCTTTTTGCTGTGTTGTACCACGTAAAAACAAACTGACAAATGGCAATTCATAAAATACAATCTGCTCAGGGACAATACTGTAGCTCCAGAGTGTTTTTGTGCCAATGTTTGTGTCATATAAATGGTCCATTGTACATTGAGATCCCCTGGAATCTCACTCAAGCTTGTTACTGTTGCTTTGTCTAATGCGAGGAAATCCCGCATTAACCCGCAGGGTTTGCCTGTTACCCAGGCAAGTGGAACACCTTTTTGTAAGAAAGAAGGTGACACCTTTGAGAGCTTTGAAAATGCACTGGGCACACTTTGGATAGTGTGACGTGCAGGAAAGTGAAGTGAGGTCACACCCAGGTAGAAAATGTGTAGTTTGACCTAGAAATATGAACTTCTCTTTGAGAAACAGCTCCGGGGCCAGTGACATGAACCACCCACCACCCCTGAGGTCCTCAGGGAGGTGGTTCAGTTCAGTGTGCCCTTTCCCTCTGCTCCAGTAAGAAACGCATCTCTGGGTTAGAAGAAGAGGTTTAGAGTTCTGATTCCATAGTCTGGGTAACAAATTGTTCAGTGCAGAGAGGTCCTGGTGTCTCTGCTCCAGTTGTTAAACAGGCAGTTAGGAAGGAGTGCTGTGAGCTGTGCTTGGACTGTTCTTTTTCTTTAGGACTTCATGCAGCAACCAACAGTTTGTGCTCTGTACAGAATAACAGATAGTACCCTCAGTCCATGCCCTGGGTGAGGTTATTAAATCCTTCAAATAAATTTCTGAGAGTACACACAGAAAGCACAGGACTAAACTGTATTCTGAACAAGCTGTAGAATATTAAGTCCTGGGTATACACCTTAGGGCTAAAACCTTGTGCTTTTGAAGCCTGTGTTGTGTAACTATTTCAAGCTCTTTCATTCAGCAGAGATCTGTTAATACTGAAGTGTATTTACTGTATCCTTCCCTAGTTTTAATCCGTTTAAAAGATTTGAAATTTTTCCTGTGATTGTGTACAGAAATTCTTTCATAGCTGAAGCCCAGGAATTAGTTACTACTGTGTGATATTTTGTACCCTGAGAGCAGCACTTGTTTGGTTTTATTGCTTTACATTTTCTCCTTTTCTCCCCGTGACATTTTTTGCTTTACTCTTTCTTGGTTTCTCTTCAGAGAAAACAAAACAAGACCTTATATCCTGGAAACATAATTCATGGTGTCAGAGGCTTAAAAATTCACAATCCCAAAGGTCAATTTCTCTACAAATATAGTAGGAAAAGGAATATTTCCAGCAGAGATACTAAAGGGAGATTACAACTTAAATTTGTACAGAACAAAAGTATCTCTGCAAAACATCTAAGAAATACCACTTCCCAGGGTTATGTTAGACTTCTTCTGTTAAGAAAATTACCTTTTTTCTATATGAAAGTGGCAAGTGATTACACACTCTGTAGCTACAGGAAGGGGAATCCCTTGTTGGAGACAACTTGGCTCTGCCAGTGTGAGCATTGTGCATTTCCTGGTGGAGGCAGATGACAAAGATTATTCTCTTGTGCTTTGCACGTGTTGCTATTGCTGGAGATAACGTGTGGGCTGCAAAAACTGCATGTGTGTGTGAGCAGACAAAATGGAATTTATTGACTTGGGGTTAAAAGTGCTGTGAAGATAAGGTATATGTCTTGTAAAGATAAGCTGTATATGTTAGCACCTCAGTTAACATCTCCAAGGGATTTGGGGATTCAGCTGGTAGATGATGTTTGTTTGCTTTCAGTGCAAGACAGAATCACATGTCCTTACATTTCAATTTAAAAGCGTGTCTTTGTCAGAGTTTTTAAAGCAAACAAAAAGACCTGTCCAGCCTACATGCTGCTCAGCTTTCATGGAAAGCCACGAGCAGCAAAAGAGATGCTTTTAAATGTGTTTTGAATCATCTTCACATTTTATTTGAATATGTAGAATAGCAATTCACCTGCCATCCTCTTTTATGCAGGTTACATTCCACTGGAGGATGCATTTTGTTTTGAAGTTAGCTCTGACAGACTGGTTCCGAAGTGGTTTCAGTTTTGTTCTTTTAAATGGAGTTTCTAAAAAAAAGAGGGGGGGACAATACAAGTAGATGTAGTGTCAGCCCAAGCTGTGCATGTTGAATAGCTATTTAAGAATATTACCTTTGACCTGGAAATTGCATTGTTTCAGTTTCAGGCCAAGGGCGTATTGTCTTGCAGACAGTGATGAGGAATCCTCCAGCGCCGGGTCTTCAGAAGAGGATGATCCTCCTGAACTGGCAGGAGAGAAGCAGGTACCTCCAGGAGCAGAAGGGTGAGCTGTCTACATGGTGTTTGCTAATCCTTCCCTCCCCCCCATTTCCAGGTTTAATGTAACTGGTATTTTGTTCCAGTCCTCCAATGCTCATTGTCACACAGGACTCAGTGTGAGAACATCCAAGCAATTAAGCAAACGCAGCTCACCTGTTTCTAGAGCAGAGAGCAGCAATCAGGCCATGTACTACCAACTGAAAGGAAGCTGCTCTGCTGAGTGTTTTACCATGCTGGGAGCATTGTTCTCCGGACAGCACTTCTCCCATTTAACACCTCCTTAATTCCTTCACTATTAAATGATAGAGCCAAGTCTTTGGACCAGAGAACCGATGGGGACCTTTCCCACCGTGTCTTCCCTAGTAGCAGAGCCAAGAACAGGATTTTGTGTGTGAACTGGAAACACTCTGGCGGGAGCATTAAACCCATGCTGATCCTGCTGATCCCTGACTTCCAGTGCATTCCTCTTTTAAGAAAAAAACCTGTTACTCAAGCCTAGCTTTCTTGCTGAGGGTTTTGTGGTGTTTTTGTTTTTTTTCTTTCCCCTTGAAGGGCCCTGAGTGCCTGGGCTGTGCAACACTGCCCTCTGATGCTGTGCAAGAATTTCAAAGAGAATATCCTAACATCAGTTTCGCCACGTCCTCCTTGTTTTGGTTGCTGTTCTGATTTTTTTTTTCTTTCTGCATCTGATTGAAATTCTACCATTCAATGAAGGAGCCTGAAATGCTTCCTCAGACAATTACGTGTTGCCTACATCTGCATGTGTCTCAGTGATGTTACCCTGAATATACCAAAAGACTCCATGACATTTTCTAAATATTCCAGGGAGGTTTCCTTACAGTTTTACTCCTAAAGCCTTTTGAGAACAATGTGAAGAATTGTTGGAATTATTTCAGTAGATGCATTTAATAGCTTTTAAAAATAGATAGATTGTATAAAGAAATCTTTATCAAAAGTAAAGTGAGGGAGAACAAAGAATTTTAAAGTAAAATACTGAATTTCCTTTCATCTGCATTACTACCACTACAGAATCTGATAAGAGAATAACTGCTTTCTCTAGATAACAATATAGCTAGTGTAAAATAAAAAAAGTTGAAATGAATTAATCACTTTTATATCAATTCAGGAGTTTCTTATGTTGTGCTGAGAAAAAAAAAAGTAGAAGTCTGTGTAAGAATGATTCTATTTTTTGCAGGGTAGGAAAAAGTCATTTCCTTAGCAAGGCACTCAGCCACATAACAACAAGAGCCACAATTAGGTATAACATAGTGTGTGGAAAATGCCAAATATGTTCTTAGGGTGTGTATTTCTGACTTCGGACAGGGAAGACAGTGAGTCCTTAAAGCATCTGTTTTAAAAGGTAGGATGCTGTCTGACACAATTGCCAGGAAAAAAGCAGCCTCTTTTTGCAGGCATAGTTAACCATTTTTAGAATGTAATTCCACCCACTGCCAAAATTTTTTTCCTTTTCTTTTTCAATGCCTTTATACTTGTGATAAATGCTACAATACCTTAAAATAAAACCTTTCTGTTTGACACACACTGCGAAATAGATGAGACAGGATGGTTGGGCCTTCTGTGCTGATGCTTTGATGTCCTGACAATTTTCTTGAAATGGTAATAGACAAGACAAATTATGTAAATGCATTTGCAATTAAAAAAAAAAGTTGCATGTCCAGTGCCATCTGGGAGGCAGAGTCCAGACTGGACAGACTATCTGCCAGACACCTGATAGCTGGCAGAATATGGCTGCTGTGTGCTGGCTCTGGTAGGTACTGCTTGGATATGTGAATATCTATTTGTTCTGAATTTTCATGTAAAAAATTCTAATACTATAACAGGGATGTCTTAACAAACAATAGGTTTCAGAAAATTACCTTGATGTGTCCTTTCTTCTGTTCTCTATCAAAGGTATGTTGGAGGACATCGGACAAGTAAGATCATGAGACTTGTGGATAAAATTACTAAGTCAAAATACTTTCAGAAAGCAACAGAGACTGAGTTTATTAAGAAGAAGATTGAAGAGGTCTCTAATACTCCGTTGTTGCTGACAGTTGAAGTACAGGAGTGCAGAGGAACTTTAGTAATTAACATTCCACCTCCACCTACTGACAGAATATGGTAAGAGGGACTTGCTGCAGACCGGGCAGTGATCCAGGTGTGTGCTACCCTAGGGGATTGCAACTCAGAAGGTGCAGTGCAGCTGAAATGGGTTCTGGAAGGGGAGCGATGCAAAATAGTTGTAAATGAGGCAGGAACTGCTGTTAAGGGGAGGTACACAGTTAACACATTTAAGAATGTGCTTGTTGCAGTGTTGGTAACACCACCTGTTCTTTGTGCCCTCCTAGGTATGGCTTTCAAAGCCCTCCCTACCTGGAGCTAAAAGCTCGGCCAAAACTTGGTGAGAGAGAAGTGACTCTGGTTCATGTGACTGACTGGATAGAGAGAAAACTAGAACAAGAGTTTCAGGTGTGTTTCCTTTACATTTTCATTTCAGAAATGATAGCTTTGGTTTAGAGGAGTGAGTTTTTAAATTTTTGCATGTTTCCTATTGCATTCAAGACCAGTTGGCATTGTCCAGTGCAGTGGAAAAGCACGTTAAAAATTCAGCTGAAACTGACTTCTGAGATGGTCTCATCCATCAAGTTTACTGACCAGCTTCATTCTAAACCCTAACCTGTATTATCAACCAGAAATTAAAAATGCTTATTTTATTAAAAATACAGTTTGAAGCAGATGGGTAAGAGCTGAGAAACTTAAGAGTTAAGAAAAGTTGGAATGTTTCCTGTAATGCTACCTCAGTTTAATGGAAAGTGCAGAAACCCTTGTATTTCTGAACAGCAACTACAAGTGTAACATAACTGAATGGTTGGAAACTTGTAGCATTTTTTAATTAAACAAATGAAAAACCTAAGGTTTTGAGTGGCATATGAAATGTAACTTGATTTAATTGCATCTTTTTCACAGAAAATCTTTGTCATGCCAAACATGGATGATGTTTATATTCCTTTAATGCACTCAGCCATGGATCCCCGCTCCTCTACGTGCCCTCCTAGAGATCTGATCACGGAGGCCTCTGATCAACCATGACATGTGAAGACTCTTGCAGTTTACAGTATTATAAAAGTGATTCTCATGGTTTTATAAACTGTGCTGTAGTTCTTATCCTTAACTCGTGCCACTTCCCCCCACCAAGGACTGCCTATAACCATACCTTTGTGCTCACTTGCCTGGTTACTGTTCCTGTGTCCTTCAGCTCCATGAAGTTTCATTCCATTAAGCTGTTGATTTATTTCTGTACTGGCTGCCAGCAGGAGTTTAACATGGAGGCTGAAATGATCTGTTCTTTGGGGGAGGGAGGAGGAACCTAGCTGTAGTAGAACAAGGACACACCTTTTGTTCAGCCTGTTTTCATGCTATGTTAACGTGTGTTAAAGCATTGAAAGGTTGTTTGGCAGCAAAGGAACTGCGTGCCAAATGGGAAAAAAAAATCCTAAATAAGGAAGGAATTTATAAAACTGGAAGAATATTTTTCTTTCTCAGGCAGTTGGAGGTGTAGAATGAACTGTTTTATGTTCTTTCACTTCTGCAGTCAATAGCTTGTGTCAAGCAATTGAAATATGAAATGCTTTCAGGATAAAGAATGTAAATGGGGTGTATAGGTGAGGTTGTGATTCAGTGTGGTATATTCATATTACTTTTTTCATACAGAAATTGTGGTTGGTTTGTTGTTTTTTGTTGTTTTGTGGTTTTTTTTTTGGAAGCAAGTAGCCATAAAATACACACCACTAATCAGTGAAGGTAGGACTGACTGATTTTTATACATGAGGAGAAAAAAAGTTGGTAAAGCCATGAGACCAAACCATAGGAAGCCGCCTTACAGTGAGGTACAATCACCTTGGGTCATTATTAATTCTGAATGTTTATACAGACATGAGCACACACATAATGTCAATACTGCACATCACCAGAAGTACTTACCCTACCGTGTGTAGAGCCTCTTGCTACTACCATGAAACACACCAAATGTTTTTCTGATAGGAGTTTGTTGCTGTGAGTCTTTTCCATTTCACTGTGTTTACACACAAAGCATGGGACCAAATTCTTGCATTGCAGCCTGTAACTCCAGACATCAAACAGCTTGATGTTGGTAAGGACAGCTGTGACTGAAAGACTTTGATCCCCATGCATTGGGTTTTTTTTGACTTTGTGGAATAGGAATTCAAACCTTGCAGTTATTCAAGCTGATTGCAATGTAATTTAAGACTGTTTCTGCTAATTAACGGCCAAAACTAAGGGGGAGGGGAACTGCCTTTTATTTCTATCTGGTATGATTCAAAATTAAAGGTATGCAGTAAATTCCTTATTTGAACACTACATATCCACTGTTTAACACATGTAATATTCTTCTGATACTGTGCTGCCAACTGTTCATGGATGTCAGAAAACGTTTCAGTTTACACAGAAGGTGAGTTTTGGCTCTCCTTTTATAACAAGATTTCCTTTTTTTCTTTTTTTTCCTTTTTTTTAGAATTTCTAAAAAAATTTTTTGTATGTTGTGTTTTCACATTTGATGTTAATCAATTTCCATGTGTAACTTGATGATCTACCATCTCTAAATGAAGCTATTATATTGAAGGTTTTTTAAACAGCACCTTGCCTGAAACAAAAGAAAACTACATTTAATATATTTAAAATTAATTCTATATTTGAACACCTATTTTGGTTACCTTTAATTGAAATATTAGTAGGTTGTATTTGTTACCTGAACTCCTCCTTGACCATTCCAGGCTGTGTATATTCTGGGGTTTGCTGATTGTGTAGGCATTAATTGCCTTTCATGAAGTCTGCATGTCTCGTACGCAGGTCTTTTCTATGATTTAATTTCTATGTGCAATAACTAAAAGTCAGAAGACTAGCTGCACTAATGTGTAAACAGATTTAGACTTATTACACAAGATTGTCGTATTGCACTTCATCAACTGTGGGTAACTACAATCTGCTTGCTTTGTTTTATTAAATAAATTTATCCCATCTCAACACAACTATTCCATTAAAACTTATTTCTACATAGTGCTCAGCCCCTGTCTTCTGCAGGTTGTCTCAAAACCTTGCCTCTTGTGGCAGATGGTTTTGGGGTTAACCAATGCTGAGGCTGTTCTAGCTCTAAAAAGAAAAGCTTAAATGGATTTAATTTAGTCTAGTGAAGATAATCTGTATTTCACTGCAACAGTTAGTATTCACGTGATTAATATACCTCAAAAACATGTTTTTTTCACTTGCTTTGAAATGATTAGGCAGAATTACTGAACAGAGGGGGCACAGCTACCTTCTGTAGTAGGTTTGATGGCAAAAGCCTGGGCATCTTCTGTCTTCCTGGACTGCTGCTGCTCCTTTATGTCCAGTCCTCTCACCAGTGTGAACATGGATTTTTCTATATATAGAAAACTAAACAAATCCCAGCACTTTTACTACCTATTAGCTGGACATTTCCTTCACAAAGTGAACCCTGGAATGTACTTAGCCTAGGCTGTGCGGTGAAGCCGAGAGCACGAATAACTTGGCTCCTCTCCCCCGGCATCCCCGCCTCCCACCCCAGCCCGGGCCCGGCGGCCGCAGCGCCCCGGGAAGGGCCCCCCGG